TGTTACTATTTTGTCCAATTCTTGTTGTTCATTTTGAAATCCGTACTGTTCTAAATCCTTTTTGTATCTTATTTGAATCTGTATGTACAGCCACCAGTCTGTTTCAATTCCCTGCAATTTTAACTCATGGTTTGATTTTAGTTTTCTTTGCCCATCCAATAATTCTTTGTAAGTCAGTATCCTGTGCAAATTTATTACGTTGGGGTAAATCATTGCTCCCATGGTTGATATCCACCTAGGAATTTTAGTATAGCATTTTCTTTTAATTTTCATCCAAATCTTTAATAAGGCGTCTCTCACTTGGTGTCTCTGAAAGTATTTATGGGCTTTGTTCTTTCCCTCCCAGATAAACGTGTGCCAGACCAGCTGTAAATCACGTCCTTCTATTGTCAATATTCTTTTATTTTTGTGAACTATCCACTCTTTAAGCCATGTTATAGCTGCTGCCTGATAGTAGGATGCCAAACCCTCCCAATCTGGAAGGCCAAACCCTCCTTTGATTCTAGAGTCCTGTAGGAGTTTTAGTTTTATCCTAGGTCCAATAGGGTTCAGCCCAGGGCAGTTCCTAGGTTTTTTTTTTTTTTTTGTCATACTCCATTAGGGCCACCCTACCTACAGTAGTTTCCCCACAGTCACCCTCAAGATGCTTCCCAGATAGCAATAGGAAATAACCTGGTTTATTTTAATTTTTTTACATATGGCAGAAATGTTTCTTAAAGTCTTTTTCAGTTGCAATTTGGTTTGATCTTAAAAACAGGAGTTAGAAATCCCAGGGAAATCCAAAGCATTTCTTAAGTAGTCTCCTGTACAAAACACCTATTGTGATTCACATAGCAGTGAGCTTGTATCAAATGTATTTTCCGCAAAGAAAATAGGTTTCAAAAATGATGTTTTTGATGACATAAAAATCTATTGCGATGACCTGCCAACCCCAATGATGTGAAGGAAATACATGGCCGTATTTGCACTCTATTCATAGCTATTCACTCTATTCATAGAATTGAGAAGATATCCGGCCCTCTCAATTCCTGGCAAATAAGATCACCGCAGATGGGGACTACAGCCAAGAAATTAAAAGATGCTTGCTCCTGGGGAGGAAAGCTAAGGCAAAACTAGACAGCATACTAAAAAGCAGAGACATCACCCTGCCAACAAAAGTGTGTATAGTCAAGACTATGGCTTTCCCAGTTGCAATGTATGGTTGTGATTTGGACTATAAGAAAGACAGAGCGCCAAAGAATTGAGGCCTTTGAACTATGGTGCTGGAGAAGACTCCTGCGAGTCTCTTGGACTGCAAAGCAATCAAACTAGTCAGTCCTAGAGGAGATCAACCCTGACTCTCTTTAGAAGGCCAGATCCTGAAGATGAACCTCAAATACTTTGGCCACCTAATGAGAACGAAGGACTCACTGGAGAAGAGCCTCATGCTGGGAAAGACTGGGGGCAAAAGAAGGGGACAACAGAGAATGAGGTGGCTGGATGGAGTCACTGAAGCAGTCGGTGTGAGCTTAAATAGACTCCAGAGGATGGTAGAGAAAAGGAAGGCCTGGAGGAACATTGTCCATGGGGTTGCGATGGGTTGGACATGACGTCTCAACTAACAACAACATAGATGAAACGTATGTGGATCAAGAGAATGGATGTTTTTAGGTAGTTCTAGGGGAGAAAAATATTTACAGCAAGAGGTCTTTGAAATGCCAAGGTCCAAGCCCTTTTCCTCCATTTTCTCTTTATTGTACATACTGAATTCATCCTCCAATGTTATACAGATACTAACATTGTTACCATTTGAATTACAAGTAAGCAATATATAATACATAACACAAAGAAAAATTAAACAGATATCCAGGTTTTTGTATCATCAACATTTTCCCAGGTTATTTAAAATCTCCTTTGCTGCAGGATAAAGATTGACTTCTTTGTTGACAAGTTAATACATAGTAATTAGCAAATTGGATGGATTTAGCCTTCTGATATTACATAGTAATTCCTTGGCTTGCTCACCCCTGGAGCAACAGGATTTTGATCAATACCAGTATGTACTAAGGATGTTCCTTCAACATGTGCCTACATACACAACAGATTTGATTGGAGGCCATTGTATCAAGGTGAACTCCCCTCTATTGCTGTACTTAAAAAAAATCAATAGTTTTCTAAAAAAATCCACACCATTACCCAGAACACGTAGTGCAAAAAGGAGTAAGCATACACCATGTTTTTACCTCAGTCTTGTTATTTACATTTTAGCCTTTGCAGTCAGGTGATTTGTTATTGAAACTGACTTTCTTAGAGAATCGAGATTTTACATTTCCTTCCCCCTTAACTGAAAGTAAAATGTGGTCCTTTATTTCCTGTTTACCTAATTCTGTGATGAAATTCTAGCTTTTGACCATTTGTATCAAAACATACCAGAGAGAAAAACGTATCAACCCTGGGTTCATTTTCTTGCAGACATACAGATGAGCTTCACCTAAGTATTATTTTAGTTCCATAAAGGTTTCAATAATGCTGCAGACGGTCATCTCTAGATCAAATCCCAAGGATGCTTGAGAATTCCCACGGCATGCTAAGATACTACCCTACCATCTGCACACAGTAATCAACCTCAAATCCATCTTGCATACAAGATGGGTTTTATGATACTAGCCTACCTCACATGACATGGTTATGATGTTCAGTTTGGGCTTAAATCTGTTAGGTGGCCTAATCACTGTGGTTTTAGCAAGCTTGTTTTCATGGTATAGCTTTTGTAGCAAACCATGACTAAATATGTGTAGAATCCCTGCCATTATAAGGAATCCTACCTGTAGTAAGGAAACAGTATGTTTACTGTAGGGGGAAGATAATTGAGCGACAGGTAATAGCAGCATGCTTTATGCTTGGAAGTAGCTACCTGTTTGTGCCCTGTAGATTATTTATTCATTTTTATATGCCACCCATCTCGCTGTTATAGTGACTGGGGTGGGGAGGTTATTATGTAGTTTTAAGGCAGATATAATGGCTTTCCTGGTAGAGGAAGTCTATAAATGGACTTTGGGCAAAAGCAAACCAGCTTGGTGTCATCTTAACAACTGCTGACCCAGATCCTTTATATTAATCTATTCTTGATCCCACTTTTATTTCTCGCACGAGTGATACCTCTATGGAAGGAAACAAAATTATGCCCAAAGATTAATCAGGATATTAACCATGAGGACACCTCCTACTCCAGGTATATTTCCTTGGTTACCTCTTTATCAGTGGACACAATTCTGCTCCTTGCAGATTCTAAGAGAATATTTAGCCTCCCTGTGTTTGTGGTGCGAACTATCCTGTCTTAAGGCGATCCCGTACAGTGTTTGAGCCTCCAATTGGCTGTTGTATCACGAGGATCAAATCTCCACCCACCTGAAGTTGTGAAAGTGCTAGGGCCATTACACTACATTGTTGTGTGGTTAAGCAACTTCAACTGTCAAAATTATCATCTGTCTTCTAAGCCTTCTAAGTCACCTTAAGAGTATCAATTCCAAGATCACTTAAAAAGAGAGTTGAGCAAAGAATTTGTAGGAAATTCTTGTGCGAGGAGTAGCTGACCTTAAGAGCTGGACACATGGTACTGTTTTCAACAAACTCGTTAAGAAATATATTTATTATTAACTTGATATGCCATCCATCTCACTTTTAAAACATCTAGTTTTATCCTGTCTAAGTTCTGTACTGTATTTTGCTTTTTCTTGGGTTTTTATATTTTGGCCCTCAGCACTTTTCCTGTGGGAAAAAAAAGGCAATGTTATGGAAGATCAACATGACTAGCTTGTTCTCTCCACACTAAATTATGCCTAGCAGGTCCTCTCCAAGGAGGCAGCTCAAGACTTCTGAGGGGAATAGTACTTAAACTTGAGATAATCAGAAACATCGTAGCATGAAAAAGCTAGAAAAAAGCTTAGCTACCATTAGAAACAATGGTTACCAAAGGGAGCAACTGGCCTTAATAGTTCAGTAGTGTCTGGAACGTGGAGGGAGAATGCACAACTTGCTTCAAATTATTTTAAAGAACAGATTAGTGCAACAGAAAAAAAAACATACAAGCAGAAAAGGCAAGGCTTCAATTTTACATAACAAAATTATTTTTCACATACTACTTTAGTGTGGTACTTGGAAAAGATGGATGACACATGAGAAAAGATGACCTTGCTGCATGCTGTAAACACCACTTGCTTTTTTTCCTTTAAAGTTGTTTTGGTACCCAAAATAAGTCTTTTATAAATCTTTGGAAATCTTATAATCTTTTACAGAAGATTATACTCATCTTACTGGTCCCATTTGACTGTCCTTACCGTGTGTGTACATACTACCTTCCAAAGAAACTCATTAACCACCAACAACTAGCCCTAACCAATTTCGTTGTATTTAAGTACAATGACAATAAAGATTATACTTAAACACCACTATGGGCTGTCATCATTTAGATTTAGCAGTACAATTTATTATTCTTATTTTTCCAGGTCTACATTTCTAACTGAGGAAATAGATATTTAGGCTGTATTCCACTTCAGGATAATTTTTAAACCATTTTCAAACATTTTGTAAAAGACACAGACACATTGGAACCTTTGATGTTTCCTAGGAATGCTTTCTGAAAGAATGTGTTTTGCCAAAATTCTTCCAAAGAAATGCTGCAATCCCTAAGAAGCGAACTTTTATTGGTGTGGTTTTTAACCCAGGGAAATGGGGTCAAGCGCTGGCTTGACCAATACATGAGCCCATCCAAGCAAATATAGTAAGTATTTGCTTTCTACTCAGGATAATAGAAAACAGCTCAGAACTGAGTATGTGGATTCCCTTCCCTCCTCCCATCCGAAGAATATCATTATTTATCTAAAAATTGATAGTGCTAGCATCTTCAAGCTCTACCTAACTGGCTGGTTAATGTACATTTTAAAGACCTGGGAAATTATATTCGCTTTTTGCCAACAGAATGCAATTCCCAAGCTCAACAATGAACACATCCACACTATCAATTGTTAAATTAGATATTTCTTTTTCACCATGTTTATTACTAATGTACAAAATATACAAAACTCAGAGCGAGACATTTTGTTCCCCCTCAGGAGAGAGATTGCTGCACCCACTTCAGGATGAGGGGAGATGAAAGATGCTGTGAGAGTCCACATCTTACGAGACTGTTTTTTTTAAATAAAAAAAAAAAAACCACAACCAACCATGTAAATCAGGAAAACAAAAGTTACCCCTTTAAACCATTAAGTCTCCGGATTGAGTTTTCACAGAAAACAGTTTGTAGGTTTCCCCCAATGGCAGACTTAGCACCAAGGGAAACCACATCTGTGCAGTTCAACATAGAGCACTGCAAGGGGGTATGTTACAAAGGGGCGGATGGGGCATCCTGGTTCGAGAGGGTATTATTGTGCAAGTGGCGGTGGCTGGAATTCCCCGTTCTCCCATTGGGCCCTTTGAGGCAGCATCAAATGGATTTCGGCCCTTGGATCTCCCAGAATGATGCACAAGCAGTTGCTGCACCCTCTCCCCTGCCTCAACCCACACACACGTTCCTAAAAAGGAGAGTTTTCCTGCCGATGATGATGCCAGCTCTTCCTCCAGACCAAAGCAAGTTCAACAGTACTGGTCTGGTTCCTGGGAAATTCAACAACACTGCCCAGTTAAATCAAGGCTGCAAGCAAGTACATTCCCCTCTTCCTTTTTTGCTGGTTCCACAGGAATATTTATATAAATTGCTTTTAAAACAAAAACAAAAAAACAAAAACACACAACCGCCCTCTTTCAAGTCTCTTTGTGCTTTCAAAGTCATTGGTTGCCTCCCCTCCCCGGATGGGGAGGGGGAAGATGCCTCCCAACAGTCTCCCTTTTGAGGGTGTGTCAGTTCGTCAGTAGCAGCAGATGCCGAAGGAGGAAGTCGTCACGTTCCCTTGCTCCAAGCATTTAAAGGGGCCTCACAGAAGCCATAAAAAGCAGGTGCAGCATCAGTCAGAAAGGGGAACCCGAGGCAGAGTTCAAGGTCAATGGGAATGTGCGCCAGATGCCACAGTCAGGATAGGTGAGAGGAACGCAGGCTTCTGATATGCTAGGGCAAGGGGGGCCCATTCACACCCGGGTGGTAAAAGGCACAGTTGTTCTCGTATCTGCAGCTGCCTTTCATGGTGAAGTGGCGACATACAGGACGCTTTGACCTATCTGGAAGGCAGAAGGGAACAAACAGGAGTGGGTCAGCCGCAGAAGCAGGAACTCCACATGGTATTCACTTCCCCCAAGCAAGCCTACCGCTCTCTCATCTTAGCGCAACTCCAGCCCAGAGCCCAACATGCACGGCACAAAATCACAATTTGAAAAAGGCTAATCGCCTGGCTTTAAAATAAAATAGGTTTATTTTAAAACCCAGCTCGACATTCCTGCACTTTGAAGTATTTGCTTTTTAGAAGAACCCTCCCATCCCCACCCCATCACTGTAATAAAATGTCACTCTTAATACTTTTATTGGCTGCCTGCTTCCCCATGTAACTCAGAATGCCAGCACCAATCCCTCTTAGAAATCCCCATCCCCCGTGGGCACAGGAATTAATATTTACCTCCACCATGGCCGCCTCCGTGCCCCCAGCCGTGGTCCCCTGGGTGACCTCTGCCATGGTCCCCTGGATGTCCCCTGCTGTGGTCCCCTGGATATCCCCGTCCGTGGTCCCCTGGATGACCACCTGGATGTCCCCGGTTGTGGTCCCCTGGATGACCGCCTGGATGTCCCCTGCCGTGGTCCCCTGGGTGGCCCCCTCCTCCGTGACCTCCGTGGCCACCACCGCCGTGTCCCCCTCCATGGCCACCGCTGCCGTGTCCCCCTCCATGGCCACCGCCCATGCTGTTGTTGGGAGGGCCCCCCCTACCATTGGGGGGACCACCACTCCGTCCGCCTCGCCCTCGGAAAGGAGGCTCTCCACCTCTGCTGCCACGGCCACGATGGAAAGGTCCAGGGCCGGGTCCTGGGCCAGGACTGCCACCTCTCATGCCTCCGTGGGGCCCACCACGCATGCCACCATCAGGAGGATCCCAGTATCCATCATTACACTGGGGGGGAGGTGGGCCCATCATCCGCGGTCCATTGGGCACACCAGGGCCTGGGGGCATGTTAGGACCGCCTGGGCCTCCATGTGGTCCTAAGGAAAGGAGAAGAGGTGTGAGGTAAGTTAGCTTCAGACCTGTTAAGACCTCCAGCCGCCATCTTCACAGCCTTCTATAGACCCCGCCCTCTTCTATTTCCACCCCACCTTGAACTGTTCCCTTCCCTTAACAACAGATCTCTGCTTACCAGGCATAGGCCCTGGCCCTCCAGGAGGGAAGTGCTGCATATTTTTGGGCCCTGGTGGGAATCCATTGGCAACCGGGCCAGGTCCTGGTCCAAGCAGCCCATGTGGAACTGTAACAAAAACAAGGAAGCTGTTAATTAAACCGGTAGCATTAAAAAAAAAAACACCACTAGCTAGACTAATATTCAGACCGGGTTAAGGTATCTTTTTTTTTTTCTTTTAAGGGCACTAAGTAGACTTGTATCTCCCATTTTCAAATCTATAAAGGGGAATACAAAGTCTGACACATCAGATGGGCTTATGGGAAATGAAATGAATCCAGCTGAAGGCGAGTTAAAAACTAAGGAGAAACAGCCCATTGATCTCGACTATTCTTTTTACCTCCTGAAGGACTTGGTCCAGGCTGGCCCTGCAAATTGCCAAGCAAGTGCTTAATCTTGTCCGAGTAATCTGGCTGCTTCATCAACTCTTCTGTTTTGTGATTGTTTGAGCCGCCCTGCACAAAATAAGAGAAATGGAAGAAATTAGAACATGGGTTGTATCTTACCCCTCCTGCCTTGTCTTCCCATTACTTCTCTGAACCTATACATAAACCTGCTTAAAAATGCTATGCCCCAAGTGAATAGAGATTCAATCTTGAACCCTTTGCACAAGGGTCTCACTTGGAGCAGAAAATGGGTTTCAAGAAAGAATCCCATTCATCAGTTTCACTTACTGCTAACTTGGAAACTCTCATTACTATTGTTAACTATCCTAGTCTTATTTTCTGGAACCTATGTTTTTTGGAGGTGTTTGGGCACAAGCTGGGGAATAGTTTAGGGTTCTGTGCTATCTTCAAGGCAGATGGCACGTGTGAATCAAAGGCCACGTTTCACGCTTTCTCAATCAGGCATCCTTTCCACTATTTAAACAACAACAACTAGCCTACGACGCTTCTAGTTACCATGATGGAGGTGAGAATCTCCTGCATGTTGATGGAAGAAGAGCTGGGGTTGGGGCCCTGTGGATTCTTGCCTGCCCCCATGCTGCCCATGAGGTTGGCCAGGACCGGGGGGAGCTTGGAGCCCCCAGCTCCGTCCGGAGACTGCGAGGCGGTGGATGGGTTGAGTCTTTCATCGTAGGTGGCCTCATCCATGGAGCATTCCTGAGAGAGGTGACAGAGGAGACACAAGGAGTCAGGAGGGATTGGCTGCTGGGGAGCTGAGTGCTCAAACCCGAGGTGGGTGAGACTGGCAAGCAGAACTTGGGGGCATACAAAAGGCTGGAGGGGCTGGAGGACCCTAGGGCAGAGCAGCTACGTTAAGAAATGTTCCCCATCTCCACTCTGTTTCTGTTACGCTCAAAAGGAAGCAGAAATGTTAAGAGAGGGAGATAGGTTACAGCACATAGGACTTCCAGTACCCTTTTAGAAAGTTCTCTGCTAAATATAATGGAACTTGGGAGCCTTATCTGTTAAGTACCCTGAGCTAAAAGAATAGTTGTCCTATTTTAACATTTAAAGGAACGCTCTGACCTCTCATTCCCACTCTACTATAGCCCACATAGTTTTGTCTGTTTAAAATAGAGGGTGGAATAAAAAAGGGACCAAGCATATTTACCTCATCTAAAGGAATCAGCTTGGGTGGCACTGGCTCATAGGACTCTGGGTCTGGTTCATGAGGGCTGTCAGGAACACTGAAGGAAAAAAGACAAAAACATCAGCTTGATGTTAAATAAAAGATGACAGGGGAAAAAGGTCAATTTATATTGGCTGAGATAACTGAGCCTGGAATGTTAAAAGGTGGTTTAAATCTCTGGACAATATATGAATTAAAAACTTTCTTCTTCCTCCTCCCACAGAAAACACTGTCAGGAGAAAAATTCAAATTATTAGCAACAAAACTGCATTTAATAGAAATTGAACAGACAACCCACCACAAAGCATCTCAACTTTAGGATCCATAGGCTTATTGGGATTTAGAGCATTGCAAACACTTGTCTCATAACCACATGGCAAGGAGGATCTATCGGACAGTCAAAAGGGACGCCTTGAGACCAGTTGGCTCCGAACTACTGTCAACATTATATAGCTCAAACCCCCAAGCACATGACTTTGGGGATTTTGCCACGTTGCCATGATAACGGGGGCAATTTCCCTTCTCTTCTACCAGTTTTTCAACATTGTTACTTCAGCAAGTATCGTTAGCATTTAGTTCCCCATTTCCCACATCCCAGATCACCACATCTTGTCAAACAAGCTGTGGGTGGGGAAAGCGGATCCACACATTGAAACATATACTGCAGATTACAATTTCAACAGACAGAATAATATTATATCCATCTTGGGCTCTTCAGGCCTTACAAATATCCATGACCAGAAAGCATAGGTCAGTAAGCCTTCATCTAAGAGCCAAAGACTATATTATTGTTTTTCCTCACAATGCCAATGGGGAAAGCACAGCCAGCACTGCTCAAAATTGGACTAGCTGTATCATATCTTTCAGCATTTTTTTTTATTTCTCAGCAATAAGTTATCATTGCTCTCTTCCCGAGTGTGTTTGTGAATTGACCTTTTTATATTTAATTTATTAGTAAGTCAATTGTGCGTACGTATTTTCCAGTTAAGGAATAGCTTAGAATCTTGAGTATGTACTCTCACCCCTATACAGATACATTTCAAATGTGCTCAATAGTTTACTCACCTCTCTTTTGAGAGAAAGATCTCCTGTAAAATGCCTTTCTCGCGCTCAGCTTGAGTGAATTTCTCCTGACTCCCACTTCCTGGCTGAACCAGTGGGGCAGGCAAATCAATAGGCTTTGGGTAGACCCAGGGGACCTTCTCTTCCATCGCATCATGGCTAAGTCGACGGGCTGTCTCAAAGGCATGGCGATCCAACATTATTTCTCGCTTGGCAGCCTCACCAAAGTCCTTGATCTTATTTACATTGACTGTAGGAGATTGAAAAGAAATTATATTCAGCATTTTATTTGTTTGTTTGTTCATTTAATCCAGCTGCCTATCTTATTTGCATGTGATTCTGGGAGGTGTACAGAATGAAAACACAACAATTAAAAACTTCAACCACTGAAACTCATTAAAACAGTTAAAAGCCATGGTTAAAAAAACACAATGACAAAAAGACAGGGGAAAATAAGTTTAACTCATGCACAGCACAACCATTTAACGGACTCCATGCCTCCATGGAATGTAATAAATATCTAAGATTAGCTAATGGACAAAACTTTCTATGACACAAAACGCGTTAAATCTTTTAAATAAAGAAGTAGTGAATAAGCATATCTACGTACAAACACAGAAATGTGTATCTTTGTTAAGTATATAAGTAAACTTTTAAAGCTGAAAAATCTTAAAAAGTGAAGCACTGGAATATATGTGCCTTCCTGTAAAATTGACATTTTGTGAGAAGCAACATCCATTATGGCAACCATTTTAGGAAGCCATCCAAAATATGGTTTAATTGTCTGAATGTACCCAAAGTGGGAGATTTCAATTCCTTATCCTATTCCACTCACTTCAATTACAATATTTTAAAGATCTTTGCCATTAACTTTTTGTTCTGAACATAGGAAACGTGTGCATCTCTCAGGGGAACACCCAAACTTAAATATTTGTCAGCCTTTGACCAATTTATCATAGCCCTCACATCACAATCTCTAGATTAGTTTCAGAAGCATAAATATTAAACAATTACTAGTTTACAATAAATATCTTTACAGCTAACCATGAGGGGGATCAGAAAGGTAAAATGGGGGTCATGAGCAAATTAAAGTTGAAAGTCCCTGCTCTAGATAGATGACAGGCATAACTCTGTTCTGTGAGACTTCCTAGGATCTTGGCAATTTTATTTTTTGGAAAAAGGGGAGAAAAAAAACACTCACCTCTTTCTGTCTCGTCCAATTCAAAGTAGAAATACTCCCGCAGTTTATTCTCCTCAGGCCAGCTCACTGTTTTCTTCTTTTTGCCCTTCTTTGTCAACTGGGTTGAATCAGCTGGACTCTCAGTCGGCTTTGAATCCAATAAACCTCCATGCTCTGAGGAATCTGAAAAAGCAACAATACTTTAAAGCATGCCAAATGCGTCAAGTACTTGGAATAACAAAAGAGAGATAAACCACCATCACTCAAAGCGCCTTAGGCTGCCATGGTGTTCCAGATACCACTTGCATAAATGAACACCAGTGACTGGCTGGTTAATCACCTAGGAAAAGGCTGCTAACCTAGGCAAATATGGTGGAAAACGTATCACGCTATAGTTTCAGCGCATTTTGTAATGTGGAAGGCATTATTCTCCCTTCACTTACTTGTCTCCATAGGTTCAGGCACCTCTACAGCTGGCACGGGGGTACCAGGTCGATCCACATCCATTGGTTCCGAAGCTGGGTTCAGCTCTGGTGAAGATGGCTTGGCAGCAGTGGTTTCTGGAGCTGGCTTCCCTTCAAAAGGACTTGGCTGTGAACCGTGAGAAACAAAACAAATTTAGTTGATTTCTAAATTTAAAGCCATCTCTGTAAAAAGGAGGATTGTTGGCTCTGCATGTTTCCTACCTTAGCTGCAGTTGGAGACAGGACTTTCTTTTTCTTTTTAATCTTGATTTCTGGGACAGGGGCAGAGTTTAGGGCATCCAAGAAGCCTAATCCTTCCATAGCTGGAGAGTAAATTGAGAAGGGCTTAAGAATCATTCTGCACTAAAAGTTTCCTAATGATATGAACAGCCTTCCTTTCCTTCTCTCCCGAGCCACTACTACTCTACTGATGTCCCTGGTGTGGCCTTTCACTGCCCCTTCTCAGTCAGTGCCACCAACATTCTCAGCTTTTACCCACTTTTGCTCCCAACCATCACCCCAAATCACTTCTGTGTAAAATAACTATTTTCTTTCTCTATATTGAAACAAAATGGCCCCGTTTTGCTTATCCATCAAACATATCCAAGGTGCACAATCTGAGCATAAAAATGTTCAAAACCCGACTAAGAAGCATGGAACATTTTGTGCATTGAATATTTGCACATTCCTATTCAACATGAAAAGATTTTAGTTGGGGAAACTCAGCAATCAAGTAACAAGCAAGATCAAAACACTGGTCTTCTGTTTTCACTGCTTTTATCCTAGCCCAGGTTGCTCCTTAACTCCATGGCTATGAAAAAGGAGAATGCCTTACGTTGTGCGGGGATGATCTTCACTTTAATTTCCTTGGTAGCATTGGGCGTGGTGTTGAGGGGTTTGTATTTCTTCTCAACAGGTGGGTTATCTCCCAATGGGTTTGATACACTATGGAGAAAAACAGTCCTCAAGTCACTCAACAGAGAAGACGCTGAATAGTTCACAAAGTTGAATAATATCTTTCATGTCAAACAAGATTCCCACTTCTAGGTAAATGTTTGATCAACTCTCTTTAACAGAAATACAAAAACAAAAATAAACCCCAAGGTAGAAGAAAAAGCAGTTGCTTCATTGTATGCCATTTTGTGAATATGTTGCTCTACTTCTTTAATCTATTCTAAGCCTATCTAAAGCACCACAGGTCTCTTTGGGTGCAGCCAAGACAAACCAAATATTCTTCATTTGTGTGGGGGATGATGGAATATTTGGAATTTTAAGAGGATGTCTTGGGAAGGTTTGGGAAGAGCTTGTTTATTTGTTATCAAATCTAGCACAAATAATAAAGGAAGAAAGTAACCTAACTCGTATTCTCCTTGCAACCTGTTTTCTTTTTAAAGCCCGGATTAGATTTCTCAGGTGCTTTGGTGCTCACTGAACTTGGTTGTTTTCTTATAAACGTTTCACTGTCCTTACAAGGATGCACACTAGTTTCAGTAATGAAATGTTTGCAAGAAAACTACCAAGCTCAGAGAACACCAAGGACTCCGAATTTCAACCCTGAGCTACAAATATTCTCCTTTATCAGTGAACAAACTTTGCTGAACGTCTAGTCTCCAAATACTACATTTCTTTTGTTATGCACAAGAAGCAAGAAATTCTCCCCACTAATGTGACCATCAAGTTTGGGTTACAGACTAGAAAGGTGCAGGCTTACATCATTTGAACAAATTATATTACCAGATTCAGTCCCACATATGATAAATTAAGGGACAAAGTGATTTTCTTTTCCCTTTAAGATCATATTACTTACATCTGTCTTTTCAATGGTATTGGCTTGAAACTGTATTTATCAGGGGCTACTGCAGTGTTTATGTTCTTTTTCACAGGAATTAGTGATGGTGTTTCCATTTCCAAACCTACAAGCAAGCAAGCAACAGTTAAGTAGCAGAATAATTTAAAAATCCCAGGAACATTCTATAAGTATGGATTGAGCCCTTTGTACAAAACTAATGGAATTCTAGCTAGGCTACCATTAAGATAAGTCTAACCTAAGTACAGCCATTAAAAACTCTAACTGCATTTACCTGTGGAACGAAATTTGGCATGGCTAGGTGCTGTGGTGCGGAGAGATTTTGGTTTTTCTTTCTTCTTTTCAGGAGCCTCCTCAGGCTTCACTTCTGATTTGGTTTCCTGAGGTTTTTCCTGAATGGAAGGTGCTTTGCTTCTGTTTTCTTCCTTTCGTTTTTTCTTTTCTCGTTCTGCAAAGGACAAACAAAACCAGTGGCTTAGGAGGGCTAAAGGACTGATGCTTTTTAGTCTTTCTGAAAGCACCCCTTTTACCACACAACATCCAATCGCATTTTTGCCTTACAGAGATACTTTAAAAGTCTAACGTTAGAATGTCTGACAATATATATTTCTTGGCCTTTTCGCTAAGATCAAAAATGTAAGCAATAGACTGGGGAGGCAGCTTATGAGTTAACTGGGAATGTTTAAAATATTCTCTCTCTCTCTTGTGCGGATTGTTTCCTAAATAGCATCTCTTTCCCTCATCCCCAAGGTTATCCACTTATTCCATTACACCTGGAATACAAAGTAGATGATACACTTTAAGCAACACTGTGGTCCCAGATTATTGTAGTGAGAATCTGATTTCACTATAAAAAAGCTTTCATAATCTGTGCTTCTGTGGAAATACAAAGCTACTAACCTGTAGGCTGGGAGCTACTTTGAGAGCGGATCACACCCATCCAGTCGCTCACCAGTATGGAAGCCAGTCGACGAAGTTCTAATAAGGAAAGAATGTATAAAGCACTCAATTAATTAAAAAATGTTTTCTCAAGTATGACCCTACAAATCCAGAATGGTGTCCAATATCAGAGATCTGTATATGGTAAAGTGACAATTACCTTCATCTTCACTTGTTTTGCTGAGCTGCTTCACCAATTTGGCAGTATTGTTCTGAAAAAAAAAAAAGCAAAAGGAACAGTCTGTTAAATGACTGTTACAATCTACAGGGTGTATCATCGCAGATTATCACCCCTAAAACTGGGAATATTGTTTTGAGTACTGAAATATATGAAACTGAAGAGAAGTTAAACCCCAGTCTTCTTCCCTCCAATTTGGGACAAAACATTTTTTGCTTTGATTTTGAAAAGGTCAAATTAAAAGGATAATTTCCACTATTGTGCAGTTAACTAACTTGTTTTAGATGATCCACGGTCAGAGGTAAGTGTTGGAGTGTGAGTAGAATCTGCTGGAGAAGGGGTACGTTACTGGAAGCTTTTGAGCTTGTTAGCCACGTGTTAAGGAGCTTATAGCCACCAACTTTGATGAATCTGTAGAACGAGGAGACAAAGTCATGGTTCATAGGTAGAATGATATTACAGCTTGCTTAAATATAGGTTGCAGAATAATTACGAGTAGCTGGATACACACTTTTAAGTCAAGCGAGGATCACATTACTGTAATGGCTGCAAAGAATATGCGTAGTGTATACAAACTCACACGCTTAAATAGCATAGTTTACATTTTATTTGTTTCATAATAGATAAGTGTATTATTAGAATTTCCAGGAATACAGAATTAGAACAAGTATTATGTCTTCCGCTCTCGCTATCATCACTGCCCCCATCTAGACTCACATTCATACTCTTTCATTCCATTCCATTAATAAATTACCAGTGTATCGGAATCTGACTGAAAGCAAAGCAAGATGAACAGCGGTGAGAAAAATGCCCAAAATCCATAATAAAGTCCATGGGATCAAATTAAAATAAAATAACATAACTTAATGGTACTGTTATCAGAATTTAATTTAAAAACCCACTTGCTTTTAATACACTGAACATCTTGCTCTTGAAACTAGCAGACCTAACTTCATTCCCTACAAGCATTCAGCAGAACTTACTTTGAGAGTACATCTTGTGCTCGGGTCTGCAACAGAATGTTCAAGTAGATGCAACGACTGACCATCTTTTGCGCGTCTTTCATTAAACTGAAATGAAAAAAAAAGCCAGGAATGGAAACTTTCAATTTGGTTGCAGATAAAATGAATGAAGAATTAGTCTGCCAAGTATGTAAAAGCCAGTTAAGATTAAGAGAAATAATCGGGGGAGGAGGGGGAAGGAAATGAAATCACTCCATTACTCCATTCTTGAACATCATGTGTTAATGTAACTGTAAGAAACTGCAAAATGCTGACAAACTTTAAAAAAAATTAGGTCTATCAATATCATTTCATATTTTCCCACCTAAATGGCCTTATTCAATTAATATCAGTACAAAGAAAAATAAAATTTGGTCTCAACAAAGTATTAAAAGTGGTACAGTATTTCAGTATGCCAATAATTTGCAGTTATAGGCCATTAATGGATTCTTAACACTTGACACTTACTTAAAAATTTTAGTGATGCCTTCATGAGTTTTGACTTCTCCTTCTTTGCCAAGGAAGCAATCCAGTCCCTTGAGGAGCTCTTTTGGATCTATGGGTCTACCCATGTTTGCAAATTCTGTCAAAAACAGGAGAGGATATTAACCAATTTCATTGTATTTATTTTGTACAATGACAATAAAGACTATACTATTAAATTCTTCGGGAGGATAAAAAAATCAACAAAATTTTTAAAATGTTTTCAAAAATAAAACTTTTCAAAAGTTAGCAAGATTTGTTATTGTAGTATAGCAAACAAAATGCAAAAACACATGGGAAAGTGTCTCTCTCTTACTAGGTGCAAAGAATTATCATGTATCTCCTAATCAGCAAGTCCTTCAATGGGGATTCTTGAAGTTTTGGAAATCCAATATTTCGCTTTAACATCTATGAATATTTTGGTAAATATTGAGTAAGTGTTGAGTAAAGGAAAAACAAAGAGCCCCATTCCTTCATGAAAATTCATGTTCATTTGGCCTTAAAACTAGAGTCCATTTCTAAAATATGTAAAATACGCAAACATTTTGTTGATTCAACTAAAATTGAGTTAAGTCCATTTATCTAAAGTCCACAGCACCTATCCAGTCCAAATTCCAGAGCACTGCCCATCTGTCTTATTTTCCAAATAAGATAGTGTTTCTCCTATCCCCAGAATTGCCATTTGTCTTCAGCTTTAAAAAGCCAGGCCAAGGTATCAAATATGGATTTCTAAGTGCAAATGTATTTACAAAGTCTCACTGAATTCAATGTATTCCCTGCTAAAGTATCCAAGACCATATTCTTCTTTCTTAAGATCAGAATGTAATTGTTGAAGATACCCCCAACCCCCCACTATTTGTCTTGTAGCAGACTATTGCATACAAATACCAGCCAAAAACACTCAAGATACTACCCAAGTGTTACAAATGATAACTATATCCCAGTGAAACTCCCTAGGGCGTTTATGGGGTCTCATTTGCCTGACATCCAATTGATCAAGCATAGTAATAAGGTTCTGTTTGTGTTACATTTCTATTATAGTATTTAGAGTATTACCCTATACTGGTGGCCTCTAAAACTCATTTGATTCTGGATTCACATAGTACTTGCTGAGTGGGTGCCAAAAGTAATTTGGTAGTAATTCAATTGAAAAGTATTTCAAGCACCCTGATATACTGTATACATTTTCCATTTGCCCTCAGGTCTTAGTGCGTAAGTGGGAATCAATTAGCTGAACTGCAAATTACAGCCAAGTGCTCATCTTAATCACAGGGTTTGTTGTTTATGCTTAAGTTTAATATGGCTATGAGACTATATTATGTAGTTCAGAAATCTGCCACAATTCTGATTAAAGAGCATTGTTTGAAAGACAAACCATCTGATGGTAGTATCAAGATGCGTAATAAATTTGTGTTGAATGTACTTGATCTTTTGTTGTCAGAGCTTTATATAGATATGTTCAAGGAACATAATTTTAAATTTTTAAAATTATGTAAATTAAATTTATCTGCTCCAGTAACATTTGGGCCACACATGGCTGACAGGTACTCAAAAGCATTGGTTCTTAATTTCAACTTTTAACTATATCTTAAAGCAGCTATTTAATTCCAAATGTGGCTCATCTAAAAACTTTTTAAGGTGTGAAAACATACTGCCATTTTGGTCAGCTCATTAAGTTCTGTAAATAAGGCCTATACTGTGGTATGTTTATAAATTTCATGGTAAATGGAGCATTGTTCATCACCCCTTTGCACTAAAGGTGTACTTGTTGAAATCATTGTAGCCTGTAGTTTTAACCATCTTCATTCTACTGGATTAGATATGGACATATCGGTAATGGGCTTGCAATTATATTACTGGGCTTCCAATTGCAAACTGTAATTGCATTTAGAAGTAGACAGCGTAATCAGGTGCATCTGATTAAATTCTTGTAGGTTTAATGCAGTGAAAACTGTCTGTCTTAAAATAAATAAATTTGTTCAGGAATATTCCATTTTGAATTCAAAATGAAGCACAATAAATGTACCTTAATGAAATAACCTATTATTTTATGTCATCTTGCAGCACACGTTTGCAAAATTAAGTATGCTAAGTTTTGGCCTTCCCCATTAATATGCCAAATATTTTTTTAAAACTTTCCACAGCATTAAGTAACTACATCTCTGTGGTAGAAGCAATGACCAATAGTCAATGGAGCAGTCTTCTTTCTTTTCCAGATAAAGCATCTTCAGTTCTTTTAATATAGCAAATTGGACTAAGCAGATACCCTACTTTTCCAAAGCCATGTACGTTAGGTATTTGTGTAGAAATTATTTTCCCCTAAAGCAGGAGGGCCCAGGCCCAAGTGTACTCCTATGTTTTGGATAGAGTAATTCTAAAAAGTTGATGGCCGGAAGAAATCAATATCCAGTTGTATTTTCACATGGAGGAAAATACTATCCAGGTATAGATGATAGTGGAGTGGGACTGTAAAGTTGTTACCAGCCTGTGACTTGTAGAGTCCTTGTGCGGCTTCAGTCCAGTTCTGAAGAATTGCTATTGAAGGTCTGTATCATGAATTCACCCAGTAATGGAAAGACCAAATGAGGTGGGCTTTGGAGACTGAACTCCCCTTTCACCCCACAACATGGCCTTCCATATGCAAGACAGCAATACATTGTTGAGGAAAACTTGCACTGATGAAACTTTGGCTCAGCCTGCTTTGGTGAAGAGGACCTCAGTCTCCAGAGCTGTCATTCTGGTACTTTTTCAGCACTACAACCCCAGGAGAGAATTAAAAATAAAAATGTTACTTATCATTTATGCCATTTCAGTTTCTAAACCCCCACATCTGTAGTGGTTGGTTTTGCCAATAGTATTTTGACACCTACTCCAGTAACCGGGGAAAGCATTCTTTTCATTCATTCTGCCCTTGATTGCGATTGCCTGATTAAAGACTGAAGTTCTGATTGCTAACTGAAGTTTTTAGTTGCAAACTACATTTCAAAAACATTATTACATAATGATGCTGTAATTTTATTTTTTGAGATAGAACAAGGCAGGCTTTCATATTTCTGCTCCATTTGAACTGGCATTAACGATTGAGGCTCTGCAGCTCTATAACTGAAGTCATTCCGAGGGATGGGCGCATTACAGATCATGAGAGATTCCAGGCTGTTCTAAACTTAACCTTCCTTAGCAGATTAACAGATTATGATTAGGTTACGACAAAAGTTTTATCTTTATGTAAGTAAGGAACTCCTACATAATTTGAGAACTTTATAATGTAATGTTTTTTAAAAGAAGTAAATACTTAAGAAATTAGTGTGGCCATCATCTTGAATTTAATCAAGTTTTACAGGATAAAGCTTCACTTTTAAGAAACAAAGAATCCAGCAGCACCTGAAAAGACTAATAAATATAAGGCAAATATACTTTCAGATAGTATTGGGACATGTAGCAAAGGATATATTCAAACTATTCAAAAGATATTCAAGAATATAAGCTTTTTAGTTTCCCCTCTTTTTAAAAAGTTTTAAGACAAGTGGCCCACAATATATCAACTAATTCAAAACCAATTTGTTTCACAATGTTATCCCCAAGCAAAAGCTTCTAAAATTCTGAGTTCGTTCCCCCCCTCCCTTGTGTATAAACAAAAGTAAAACATTTTTAACTCAAGTAATGCGTAAACTTCTCACAAAAGATAGTTCTGCCTGATCAAAAGTTAAGATTTTTTTTGGGGGGGGGAATCATTTAAAAATGTTTGAAGAACCAATCTTAAGCTTCTGTTATCAAAATTTTGGTAGGAATTAAAGGCAATTTAACAAAAAGACAAAAACTATACTTTGGAAATATTACTACATAATTTCTTAAGTATACATAAAAAAAGTAAAATGAGTTGCAATACAAGAGCATTTGAACTAAAAGGAAGAGTGTCGTTTAGGTACATTTCAGCAACACTGCTCATTCTTTCAACAAAATGTTGTTTTAATCTTGGTCCCTATTTCAAGAGTTGTTAGATTAGGTTTTAATTTGAAGAACTGAAGTGGCAATCCAGCTGCAATTTTTAAACTTGCATGTATGTTTTAAAAACTGCAAGACTAAACAGGCAGTTTTATGGCAGTTAATTATTTGAATTATAAAACTATTAAAACCTCCAATTTGAATCAGGTTCTAAAACTATAAAGCTATGAAAAAGGTATTGTTTTAAGACATATTAATCAAATTAGGTTGATTAGTATATTAGCAGCAAATAACTTTTTCTTCAACTGATTCCATTTTTAGCACCTCCATTAACTTGTTTAAAATATAGTTATCATATCTGAGCACAAGTTTCATTCCAGATTTATCAACAGCTGTGTTTCAGAAACATTCTGAAAACATGTTTTCTTATAACTAAAGCCAGTTAGTAATGATATACGTTCACTTGGAAGCACCTCTCACTAAATCTGCTTTCAAGTATACAAATGAGCAAAACTACAATTGAACAAAATTAAAATTCAAGAATTACCAGCTGTTTTGAAAATAATCAAAACTTGGAAGGTTAAGTAAAAAAGCAATTATACACACACAAACACACTAGAGCAAATAGTTTTCTAATGTAATTTATACCAGCTAAATTAGACATTTATTTATTCATAATTGCAATTTGGAACAGGGCTTTCTATGAATTTCTACTCGGGTTGACATAGGATTCATTGAAAATGTTCATAATTACACTTATGCTATTTTATCTCATATCTGAAATGTGAGTGGATTAAAAAAAACCAAACTTTTTGGCTCAAATCTGAACTCTTGGGAGACTGTGACATCATGCTTTGTTAATAATTCTGCATTTAGCTAAATCTCAAGTAAAATATATGCAAGTCATTCATTGTTGGGGGGGAGGGCTTGATAAATTAAAGTTCCCATTCTATTTCTTAATCATTAAACTTTACAACTTTTGCATTATTAGTAGTGTCTGTCATCCTATTTTTATTAGTTTAGCATGAAAAAAATCTACAAGAACATGTGAATTTAAGTTTTACACAGCAGCCTAATCCTAAATGTACATAAGAAAAAATGCATCTTTGTCCTCATTCTGTTTTTAAATTTCATTTTAATAATGTATATGGAACTAATTTTATTATGAAGCACATGGCTGAGCTATCAAATATCTAACAAATTTTAGATACATTCTACTTGTATCCTAAATTGTTGGTTTCCAGATGCTTCGTACTTGGTATGTTTAAAATTAAAGGAAACTTTACTATTTCATGAAATTCTCAATTTGATAAATGCTCTAAAAATAAAAATTCAGTCTCACAGACACTTGTTAAATTATAAATTTCTTATAGTTGTTATAATTGATATAGTTCAGTACAGAAACTCATCTAACAAATTATCTACAGCTCTCAAGTGACAACAGACTTTAAATGTTTTTCTAATCCAAAATTTTAGAAGCTATGTTAATTTGAAATTAATGTCTTATTTTTTCTTAGTATTTAATATTGTCTACATTTTATACCCAGTAATATGGTAGACAGTTCATTATGTTTAAATAAGTTACCTTGATCACATAGGAACCTCAATAGAACAAAGCATAATAGTACTTTAATCTTTCCAAAGATTAACCTTCACAAAGATGGGCAAATACTAAATATTTAGCGGTTACCATCACTCCAAATTGTCGGACAACTGCACAGTAACTTTATATCCAACTTGCAATGCAGATACTGTAATTTTTGTACATTGTACAATGCAACAAAATAAATTATCTGACTAAAAAACGTAATTTGATAGGAATTGTAATGTGGGGGATGTCCAGCATATCCCACCAAGATATTCCCATGAAAAAGGTAACAAAAAGCAGGTTGTTAACTGTTGTCAGACGCAAGCCAGTCAGGTCCTCGCCATTATGTTCTTTCGGTTATCATGAAAAAAAAAATCCTAGACAGCTTTCCCAGAATCTTAGAGCTTGGATTTGCTAGAGCAAAAACAAGTTAACATTTAAATTCTCGAAGCCTGGATGAAAAGCAGAAAAATGAAGGATATTGAAGGGGAGGAGAGGCAAGGTATAGGTATTAGAAACATTATCTAAGTTGCATTTCTCTCTCCAAAGTACTCCAATTGACCTGAAAATTATCCAGGATTTGACTCCAGAAAATCATTCATTTTGTACTCATAGACTAATATCAGGATTTTAATCCAAGAGACACTTTTATATCCTACAATTCTATTAGTTAGCAAAGTGCTTTAAAATGTGTTCCCAAGGGAATTACTATAGTTACAATTCCTGTTGATTTACTAGCTATTACAAGTACTCAGTTCATTACTGTACCGTGCTAAAAGCCCCTACTCCAAGAATGTCATGTCAATCCATCAGTTGTAGAGATATTTGCTAGACATAAGCAAATAAATCAATTCCATTTGAAGTCAGAATTTCTGGACTGATCAGCTTTCATTTTCAACCATAAAACTGAGCTTGTATCAAAACAGCCTAAGGACATTCTGCGTTAAGAGGCTAAATGAGCCACTTATTACAGTAGTCTTTGAATCAGTAACGTTGTTTAAAATACATCTTCAGGCATACTTAGAAACATATCCTTTTAAGGATGTTTAGGGAGAAAAGTGGCAATACTCTTATGCTGCTGAACACCAAGAATTCCCCATTAAATTGGACATACATTTGAAGCCCTCTTAAGTGGATTCATTTAGGGTTGAGTTTCCATCCAAATTATACTTACATGGAAATTAGCCTGAGAAATTTCCAGTAAGTATGTTCAGGAATGAAGGTTATATTCTTTGTCCATATAAAAATGAGTATTTTCTCCTAAGAGAAAATTTTCTCCATTTACTTAGTGCTCAGTAAGTAGGGGAATATATTGCCATGTTGAACTATTATCAGTTATGCTCAAGTTCTAGTTCAGTCCTGATTTCCTTCAGTAGATGTTTTAAAAAAAGACCAATTTTGTCTTATATAAAAAGAGCAAGCAAACAGGGTTGGCTTTCCACATGTGTTTTTACATCACAGAAGGAATTTCACCCAGGTTGTTCAGTGTTATGACATGTCATTGCCTTATCTAACTGACATAATAATGTAGCTCAGTATCTGATACAGCAGCTAAGGCACAATAGTAGTTAAGGCTGAAATCTGTGGCAGCACAATTCTGTTGAAACTAGAGCTTGACCTTCCAGAATTAACATTTAAGAATCCTAAACAAACCAAGATTCTAAAAGCATTGTTTATTATCTATATATGGGAATCCTCTAAATAATGGATTTGGGGGAAAGCTTTGTATTTCCCTATGTATCTTTTAATTAATTTCCTGGCAAGCTGCTGTGCTGTTATTCAAACCAATAATTGTATAAAAAATGAATCTTAACTTCAGAATAGCCCATTTCACAATGCAAATAATATTTATGTTAGCCCTCAAGACTATGACAGTATTAACCTTTGTCCTATTTTGCTAATTTACATTGTTCCTTATTCTGTTGTAGGCTGTTCTAGTCTGCGACTTCATAATCAGGTGCTTTTGAATACACATTTTTACTAAAAGTACTTGAGGGAACTATTATTTTCTGCCAGGTTTACACTCAAGCCTTCCTTATGCAGCAGCTTACCTATTCCCCCCCCCCAATTAAATTGACTTTGTATTGCAGAGCATCTTGAGATGCCATGAGGTGCACCAATCATCAAATTTTATAGCCAGAACTGTCACTGATTTAAAAAGGGGGAAGAGGGATGTTTACATATGAAATGCTACCACCGGAGGCATAGATGGAGGCAATAATTTCAGCTTTGTGAAATGTTTCCCCACAGTACTAAATAATCATTACTTACATGAGGAAAAATCACAAAGGCAGCATTTCTTAAATGCTATCTGATGCTCATGCAGACCCATTTAAGAAACTTTTACGGAATTAACCAAGCTGGGAGGGAGTAATTTGAGCAGCCTCAATAGATTGGAAAACATTTAAAACCCATTATAGCCTGCATGCATCAGGAGTCATTTCATGGTGTTGACATGGAAGAGAACAGCAGCAAAAATAAATGAATAAAAACCAAAGTGGTCTGGAACAGAAATGAAGGTTGTGAAATGTAATTAATACCATAAAGATTTTGCTTACCAGGTGGAATTGTGGCTGTTCCCCTCCCTTTGGTGAGGTAATACAAGTAGCTGGATTCCCATTTTTTTTCCTAATGAGCACTTCTTTCCTAGTACATTGTACAGGAACGGCGGAATGTGGCAAATTAATACAAGATTTACCCCCCCCCCATTTCCTTTGTGTACATATGGCCAAAGAAAATGAAAATACAATACCCCTCCCCTTTTTTGGTAATTTCAGCAAGTGTCAATGACACTAAATATTTGGGATCCAGTGGTAGCATTTCATCTTTCTTAACAGTTAAATCTGACAAAACTAGAAAACATGCTTCCCTGACCCATATCTCATTTCAGAGACCTCAAGATGAAAAAGAGGAAGGGGGAAAAGACACAAAAAAGGTTGTCGGTCTATCACAAATATAGCCACTTAATAAATTTGTCCCAAAACAAATATCACAAACACGCAGGTATCACAAAAACCCAAAGTTCTCATGTGATGTTGAAACCTTAAAAAAATAACTCGGTGGATTCATGATAATACTTTGCACTCCTAGCAAGCTGTACCTAGAGATTTCCCAAAGATGAAGCAGTAGCGGAAGTTTGTTAATCATTTTGGAAAAGTGACAAACCGGTTAGCCAGTTCTGCCCTCCCCCAACTGCTTGCTCAGGGCTCCAAACATAAGTGAAGGGGAGGAGCTAACTACAAGCTGCTTACATCAGCTCTTGAAAGCCTCGTGGGTTCTTGTATAGTAGAGAGAAGGGGCCGCCATTTTAGAAGCATAGGCGATTAAGGAAATAAAAGCAAGAGCCTCCAGAATCTATTGAGAGGAAACTATATAGCAATACAACCCCATCACATGCACAAATTCTACCATTTTATATCAGTTCTACCAATTAGAACCTATTTAACACAGTTCAAAAAAGGGGATCCCTTGTTTGGTGAGTGCCGGAGACTCAAAGAACGTCTCATTATTCACCATTGTAAGGTCAGTACCTCCTCCTGCCCCCTCCTGTTTTTTCAGTAGATGAAATAAAAATGGAAACATCCTGTAAAGGAAAATTGTAATGCTGCTCATCAGGGACAGAAAGATTAAAAGTAAACACTGCCGTACTGCAGCGAGGGGAGTGAGGAAAAATAGATGAAAACATTTAAAAAGCAAATTAAGATCTCATTTGAATCCAATTGGTTTCTATTTTTCTATTACAGTCCTTTTAAAAAAATATCAAGTTTAAAATGATTTTCCAAACTCATTTTGCAATCTTTATTCCTAGATTGCTTTTTCATATTACAAGCCTACATACACATTGGAAAACCTTCGTTTTTAAAAAACACAAACCCCTTAAGACATCCTTAGAAATATAGGTGCTGACACAAAAACCCATCCTAAAAAATGACTCCATCTGGCTACTAGTTGCTTTCTTTGTCCCAACTCTTGCCCTGCAATCTTTATGTACAGATTGCTTATTTAATTCAAGCACTTCTTGTCTCCCACACAAAGAAGCAGCACTTTATAGTTCAGACACCACCATCTGTTATGTGGGAGCTCATTAACCCTTGACAGTCCTGGAGACGGTGGATTTTCTAAAGAGACCATCGTTCTCCTTATATATACATTTTTGGTGGCAAAATGCCTGCGTCTTAAGGGTTAACACCTCAAACAAAACCCACTTTCCCAATTTTTTGTCTTTTCTTCGTGCCATTAGCTCACTTCGACACGGATGAATTTTTTTGGTCAGTTGGTTGAAAATGCGACACTTACTATCCAATTAATTTTCTCGTCGACAGCGCCTCAAGGTTTAGCTTTTTTTGGATTAAGCTGTGTTTTTTAAAGAAAAAAAATGAATTTGGTTTTGCTCATTTTTAAAAAAAATAAGCAACTTTTTGCAATAAAAAGCTGCTTGATAAAAAAAAAACATCAGGGAAAGTTGTTGCTAAATATTAATTTTGGTTTTATGTTTTAGTGGCAGTTGTTCTCCTTCAGATCATAAAGAATTTTAACAGCTTCCCAATACAGACGATCAGAAATGTAGATGGCTTTTTTGTGTCGTCTCAGAGGCTCAACTGTGGGGCAATTTTTCTTTGTTTCACGATGTTCAACGGTGTCTCAAGCTCAAAGGAAACCTAGAAAATGAATAATTACAATTAATTTCAAAAAATGTAATTTTTAAAAAGCAGATAAAATACAGCATTTGGCTACAAAATTGCCCTTTCGTAAATCCACGTTTCTATCGGGTTAAAAGAACCAGAGGAGAGGAAATAATTTATCGGATGTTAATTTAACGTTTTGGCGGCTCATTTTTGAGTGGCTTGGGATTATTATTATTATTTTGCTGTTGTTAGGGAAAACTGAGCTTAGGGCTTTCTTTGAAGGTTCAAGTTTCAAGAAAAGATATAGGATTTTCAAATGTCAATAACCCTATAATGGGGGGAGGGAGGGGGGGAATAGGAAATAAAATTATCAGACCGTAATGCCCTTTTTGTCTCCCTCCCAAGCCGCTCCCATAATAACGTTGGCAGAAACACAGTACTCACCTTTAAACAGACCCCAGAATGGCCGATGGGAGCGCGCGCGGAGGCTTTTATACGGCGGCACTCCCTCCACTCAACGCCTCCTCCCACCGTCGTGCGCGGCGTCCAAAGAACAAAGCCTTGGCCGCCTGCCCCGCCCAGCTGAGCCTCCCGTTTGCCTAAATACGGGATAAAATTTATATCGACGCACACGGTTCGAATTCAATTTTGAAAAGCAGTTCAACGGTCTGCGAAAAATTAAAAAATAACCTGGGTTAAGCTCGTGACGCAGTTAGGAAATCAGGAATGCGCATGCGCGAGCGGCCGCCAGGCTTGCCGTCGTAAAGCGTTGCGTGCACGCGCACAGCCACGGGATTGCTCCGCCGTGGAGGCTGGGAATCAGACAAGGGAGATGGTTTCGGGAACTGAGCATGCGCGTAGTTTGGCCGCTTGAACGCCGAGCATCCTCCCGAGAGTTAAACAATTCTGGTCATGCGCAGTAAGGACCCAGCGCCGTTGGCTTCGATGGCTTCCGGTGGGGGTTTTATTGTAGGGAGAGGGAAGGGCAAATCAACCCGTGACAAAAGATATCGAAGCCAAAAAAATAGAAATCTTTTAAAAATTGATGGTGAGGTTTGTTTGCAATACATGTATGGTCGCTTCTCCTGGAGTGAACTGGAGGTAATAACTAACTGAAATGACCTGTCCTTGAAAATAAGGGCGGGAGGAAATGCCTCAGGGTTTCTCAAGGTGACCTTGAAAAAAATGAAGCGCAATGGCGCATGCGCAACGGTATTTGTGCCCCTTACAAGATGGCGGCTTCCAGTCGAGCCATGTTGCTGTATGGGAACTTGGCCTCTTTAGCCGCCCGCGTGGCTTTTAATAGGTCTTGCGGGCTACGGGTAAGAAGACGCTTGTGTTTTTTAATAATTAGATTCCTATGTGGTAGATTAACTTTTTAAAAAAGCAGTCTTAATAGTTTTTCCCCCCAAAAAATCCATGGTGTGTTTATTTTGCTTTATCATTAGTTTACCTGAGGATTTAACCATGCTTATCTCCTAATATAAATTATAGGAAGTATTCTCTAAAGTTTACTCTTAAGATAGTAAATATAGAACTGTATGTCTTGCATATCGTCTTAGTTGCAGGATGCCCCAAGATGATCAATATGGACTACCGGTCGATGTTGTTATTCGTAGTTATTAAGTAAGCGAGTAATAAACTATTTAAGTAACAATTTAGCTGCTATTAAAGTAGCATTCAATTACTTTCAGATCATAAATATTTAGAGGGGGCCGATGAACAATCTGAAACTTCATGAAGAGATCGATGAGTTTGGGGGACCCCGTTTAATCTATGTGGACTTTGCTATTTCTAAAATCTCTCGGTTTTCTTCCCTTTTCTCATAATTGATTATTCCCCTTTTCTTTAAAAGAGCTGTAAGTAAGCTGTAAGTTCATAGCTTGTTTTCTGTTCAATAAGAACAAATGTTCTAATGTTCATGATAGAACAGATATTGTTGGCTGTTTCCTGCTGTTAAAAAGATCTTTTTTCTAGAGCAGTGATGGTGAACCTTTTTGCAACTGAGTGCCTAAACCGGAATGTGCGTGCATGTATGCACACTGAAGTGCTGGAAACCCGAAGACCATCTGGCCAGCGAGTGCATGCCTGTTTTTTTTAACCATTTTCAGGCTGTTTTCCGGTGCTCAGGCACTGGTGAAGACCAGCTGGCCAGCGCGCAAGTGCATGCCTGAAACCAGAAGACCAGCTGGTGACAGCGCACATGCCCACAGAGAGGGCTCTGCGTTCCATCTGTGGCGTGCGTGCCATAGGTTCACCATCACAGTTCCTCTGTTTTTCCTATCTTATATTTATTGAAATAAGCTATACAGTTTTGCTTTCTTCCCAGAGCCTACATTTTTAAATTGTCTAGAGTAGATTCTTAAATACACATATGTTCCACAGTGTAATAGAGAACTTTGGTTCTCTTAGTTACAGCATAAATTTCCTCCATTGACCTTTTGAATGACAAGTTGGGAAGCTGGGATCCTCAGAGGACTGTTTCAAATGGCCTTTGGGTCTGGGATTCTTGTCTTATTGTAATATCTCTGTTGGTAATTTTCACTTGTATCACTATCTTCTAAGGGAGTTTTCAGCTGGCACATCCTCCTCTCCAACCTTAAGTGTTTGAGAAAGATAAGGTTCCCACCACCCTCCTGCCATTACTAGCAAATTAAAAAAAAGTACATTTTATAACCTCTGGATATATGGGGCATGAGAATAACCTTTGGAGTCAGCCTAGATCCCAAATGGTCTGAGTCAAAAGGAGGAATGTAGGTGGGGTAAGAGTCTCAGAAGGGATGCTCCCTAGTTCTCTAGAAAGTAAAGGCAAGAGAAGACCTCTCAGACTTCCAAGATTTTGTCACAGTAACTTTGCATTAAGGGTAATATTATTACTCATGATTTTGTTTCCTTTAGGCAACCTTGCAGTTTTGAAAGGCTGGATAGACTTGAGATGTATGACTAATAGAATCAAGACTTCCTCAGAGGAAAAAAATATTTTTAAAAGAGCAAATCCCTTTTATCTTAAAATAATCCCATGCAAAACATTCAGTAGCAAAGCAATAAAAATATAAAATTGTTCCAATTTCCTACAGAAAAAAGGATTGGTCTGTTTCCAATTCAAAAGCAACATAGTTACTGAGCTTGTACAGAGAAAATAAAACCAGAAACAAAAGCTAAGGCATAAGCACATACTATATCTGTCTTTCAGAGACAGTTTTCCTGAAACAGTGAATGAGAACAGCCTGTATAATAAGCAAAAATAAAAATCAGGAGGAATGTGGTAGCGCCATTTCCGACCATTTTATTAAAAGACTTCCCTTCCAGAATTCTGGGGATTCCAGTGAGTTGATTCTGAGACTGTTGAAGAGACTGAATGCACTTATTTCTTCCCAGCTGTTCTCATTTTAAAAATACATTTTTTCTTGCAAATGTTTCATTACCCAAATAGTTAACAAGAAGGGAGTGTGTTTTGCTCTCTTTTTCATTACCAGTGGCTTGCCCTGTCATGGAACCCCCAAGAACATTCCCATCAACACTGATGGGAACCCACCAGCATATAAAAAGAAAGCAAACCCCACTACCTTCTAGCACTGATTATGTTACCTAGGTGGATAATGAAACATCTGTAAGAAAACAACCAGGCTCAGAGCATCAAGGACCTCATGATTCCTAATAGAGTTGTCACTAGTCCCATACTGCTTCCTCGTGGTCAACGTGGATGGCTTTTGGTGAATTTGGAGGTGGGCTGTGTGCTCTTTTGCACATTAATTACTAAGCCATACTGACTTGTAGAATTCCATACTTCCTGGATAATAAAGCAATTACAGCAAAGTAGAATCAATAAGAATAAGAAAATATATTGGTATTGACTAAGGCAATCAACTAAACAAGAAGTGATAACGACATTTTGAATTTTAGTTTTCATAATTCCTTTACTGCAAATAGAGGGTAACTGTTGCCTACCCATTAGAGATTCTGCACTTAATTTCTGAATATTTGATTAAAAATGCTTTTTTTTACTTTCAATTTTTTTCTCCTATTATGTCACTGCTAGCTATGCTGGTACCTGTATTTACTACTTGCCTTGCCTTGCTTTGTTTCCTAGCATATACCCACAACTTCCCTCCTGTTGCCCGAGCAATTGGCCTTTCGTACGTACTGCACAGAGGTCAACCAAGAAGAACCCACAAAGCCAGGTGGTCGTGAGATAGATTCACATTACAAAGAAATGCCATGGAAATACTTGGAGAGCGAAGGTATGCATGAATAGAGGTAGACTGGAAGAATTTTGTGAGTCTAGAATCTGGTGGAAAATGTTATTTATTTGGTAGGTGTTTTTTGTGTAAATTTAGCTAGTTTTGGTTACATAACAAACCATGATTGAATAACTGTGGCTTATCATAGTGTGTGAAATAAGTGTCTCTGTGTTTACAAAATGCCTACAGCAACAAAGATCGACAATGAGATTTCTTAAGATGTTACATGTACTCAGACAATATGATAGTAAAATAACAGGTAGACTTTAGCTTACAACAGTCACTCAGCTGTGCCCTGTCCTGGTTCATGACTACTTTGTGGACACTCACCAGTTGGCATTTATATCCTTTTGCAATCACATGACCATGCTTTATAACACATTTGCTGAAAAATTGTGTTTTTCATTTAACATCCAGGGCATTTGCTTAAAGACTGCAGATTTATTTAACAACCATAGTGATTCACTTAATGACCACTGCAAAAAAGATAAAATTTGGTCACTCCTGGCAGCAAGATTGGCAAAAATGTTTCAGCTATGTCACCAGAATGTTGGAAATGCAAATAAACACAAGGATCTTATTATTACATGTGGTGGATCTGTCCATCGGCAAAAAAATATTGGGTAAAGATAACCTGCTTTATGACCATCACAGAGTACGATTAATGGGCACACTTCTTTACAGTTTTAAGTTGACTACCTTCATAAAAAATAAAAATGAGCAAACAAACCATTATATAGTTACATATGTTCATTTCTACTTAGTGACTGTAAAGATCACTGCAATTGTACCTTTGCCCTCACCAGAGTTCATTTCGGCAAACTCTTCAATCTGGAATAGCAGCACTATAAATAACTGGGTTCACATCTAAACCGAAACTCCTCACTTAGCCTGAGGTAGGAGCCCAAGTACTTGTTCTTCCAGAGAGACAAAGAATGTGAATGAGAGAATCATTCATGCTACCTTATTTTTCTTGAGGCAGTGGCAGGGAATCAGGATACGTAATGCCTTATGGGAGTACAAAACTCATGTGTGTGTGTGTGTGTGTGTGTGTGTGTGTGTGATGCGCGCAGTACAAAACATATTTCACTTTGAATCTGGAATGAGCCATAGTAATCTGGATGTTTTGTCGAACCCTTTTGGGTGAGGCACAGTGTGGGAGAAACAAAACCTGGTACCTTTTGGTTAATACTAGGTTTTACACAAAACCTGGAAGGATCCTGAGTGCTTAGAATATAAATCACTGGTCAATTATCCCATGCATAGAATAATTAATACATACTATAGAACATTTTGCACAGTCCTACAGTATAGGTATTATATGACTTTTCTTGCCACAGTTGTGAATTATTGCAATTGGTGAGTTAGTAACCCAATTGTTAAGGGAATCTGGCTTCCCCATTGACTTTGCTTGTTAGAAGGTCACAAATGGTGATCACATGACACTGGGACACTGCAATCATCATAAATGCATGCCCGTTGCCAAATGTACGGATTTTGATCATGTGACCAGCAGTTGTGTGGAAAAACAGCCCTCAATGAACCTGTGCCGTTTTAACTTTGAACAGTCATTATACCAAGAGTTGTAAGTTATGGACTACCTGTGATGCGAGTGTTTTGTTTGGCTTAGGAAGCCCAGTAATTGTGAGTAAGCAGGTAAATGTAGGATTGTGTCATGTAATAAATCCTCAGGCGGCTTCATTGCTCATGTTTACATGTTTATAAGCTGAAAGCTGCTGCTGTGGAATGCTGTATTCATGAAAGATGGAGAGATGGACATACAGATGGTCCTGTATGAAGAGTCTTTGTTTTATGGGACAAAAGTTCCACATTTGTCAATTTTACTCTTTGCAAGTTTGCTTTTCCTTTCTGGAACAGTATTTAAAAGAATTTTGAGGTGGTTCCCAAACCTGTCCTGTTTCATCATATTTTCCTAGTGCCCTAGTTTGCTTTTCCCAGTTTCCTAGATTTGCTTTCATCTTTTCTGGCCTGGGCCTATTCTTTTCTCCTTGGCTTCCTTCCAGGTGAGACTGGAAAAAGGGAAGACTTATGCCTAGTTCAAAATATGGCAAGGGATACTGCTAATCAGAACACAGCAGAGCTCTAAATGGACAAGTGGTCTTGTTTAGTATAAAATAATTCCTTCTGTTGCTTTAGTGTGCAAGTCACACAGCCAGGAAAATTGCCTACTCTCATATAATGTTTTCTATTTCCTAAAACTACATATATAGGATTACCTACAAAATGGATTCATTTGGTAAACTCGAGCCATGGTCTTTTCAGTGGTGGCCACTCCTTTGTCAATTTTTCAATGCATATAGATAAGGTCACACATCAGGTCTGGCTATAAAAGCAAAATTCAATTTCTTTATTATTCTTTCCATTAAGATACATTCATTTAATGAGCTTGAATTACTATATATTTCTTATCAACAGTCTGGGGTAATTACCAAAATTATTTTTTAAATAATTTGAGAGTTGATTAGTTAGTCCTGGGAAAGGAGAAGCAGGAGAAAGAAAGTTAAAATAACTCACTTTGATTCTGTTTGGTACAAGAGGGGACAAAGGGGCACACTGCTGGGCTTTCAAGATTTCTGTTATCATACCATACAACTATAAAATAGCATTCCTGGAATTTTTGAGCTGTTTCCTGACCTGACTTTCTTGAAAGGGTTGACAGGGTATATGAGATGGTAACTTATTGCTTTATGTATCCTGAGCACATTTGTAAAATGTTAGATACAGGCCATAATTTTCTTTTCCTTTCCCCTTTAGAATACATAACTAAATATGGCAACGATCCCGTCTGGCTTGGATACAGGCGTAATTTCAAGGGTCAGGTTCCACCACAGAAAACCCGGAAGATGTGCATTGTGAGTACATTCTGTTTATGAATATGTATGGATGGTTGGATAAGATGCAGCATATCTGTAATTTGTATTTGAAGGGATATTTCATGTTTAAGGGATCAATTGTATTTTTATTAACTATGCAATATAACATGGCTTACTTCTGGAATGTTTTCTCTTTGAATTGGCTAATCTGAGTATTTGGGAAGGGAGGGGCAGATTCTTACTCTAAAAATTGTAGGTGTTCATAAGACCATTGAGTCCAAATTCCTCTTCAGTGTGAGAATCCTAATTAATATATCCTTTCTGGTTTTTGCTTGAACCAATCAGGATGAATCCGTGGGGAGGCCAATTATTGTCAAACCACCTACTTATTGTTTCAGTGAGACTTGTCCCAGAATGCAGAATTATGGACTTTTGTTTATAAGACAAACAACAGTTGCATTCCGGGATGATCAGTCTTCATTCTAGATTATGTGACATTATATAGTACAGTATTTTAATATTTTACCTTGGTTTCTTCTATGCTAAACATTTACACTTTTGTCAATTTCTGCTCATGAGACAATTCCCAGTTTCCTACTGACCCTTGAACTTGTTCCAGGTGTCTAAATGTTTCTTAGAGTAGGGTGCCTAACATTAGGCACATTATTTTAAGTAATCTATGATGAATGGGACATTTATAGGATTTTCCTCTCCTAATTTTTTACATAATAAATTGTTTTGTTCTGTCTGTACTTAAAGAGAAGAGGTCATGTCTGTGGGAATCCTTGTCCCATCTGTAGAGATCAACATCTTGTTTTGGATTATAGGGTAAGTATATGGGATTTTTTTTTCTTATATTTTTGTTTAAATGTACCTAACTTACCTGAAAGTCTCCAGAGTAGAGATACAAACATGTTCCATTGATTAAACATAGATAATAATATAAACAATATAAAATCTAGGCAGTTCTGGAACAGCTGGACATAAGAACTATAGGGGCAGCATTGAAATGTTAATGGCCTTAGCCCCCACAATTGCCTTACCCCCCACAACCTAACTGGATGAACTTTTAACAGGAAGTTTGAAAGACCAATGCCACTACAGAAACAATTCTGGTCTATCTTGCCATCAGTGGTATTCAGGCAGTAACAAAACAGTTAGGAATTTAATAAATAAAAACAGTTGCATTGGTTGTATAAGCCATGTTTCCTTTTCTAACCAATGAGTAAAATAGGGCATGCCCTTTATCTTACAGAATGTGAAGCTTCTTGAACAGTTTATCTGCCCTCACTCGAATATAATCCTTGATGCAACCCAAACAGGTAACACAGCTATTGCATTTCATGCCTGCTCCATTTAATTCCCTGTCCCAGGTATTCTCTTTCTCTCCCTTTCCCTCTCCCTTATGTAAATATTCTTGTTCCTTCTTTTCTCCCTCCACTCCATACACAATGTTGCTGCTGGCCACATTTGCAGCAACCACCCTATTTTCCAAAATCTTATTTTAGAAACTCTTCCAGTTGGTTTGCTGCTCTCCAAGCAAGATGCCAGGGCTTTAGAGCGACAGCATTTTAGTACAACATCTAAGGACCTCAATTCAAAACCACAGGATGTGTGCTACCTCTTTTCTGGTGGGAATAAATAGCACACAGAATCAAGTCTCTGAATGCAAATCAGTCTAGAATTCACACAGTACTTATGTAACCTTTGGAACGTATAATGTATTTGTCCTCTTATTTGAGCATGTGTGAACAAAGCAGGTTAGACTGAGAGGCCAGGGATTTTTTCAGCAGTACAGAAAGTTGCAGAGTTGTAGCTAAATGAGGAATAACTGTATTTCAGGTATAGGTTTTTTGTTTTTCCTACCACCATGATCTCTTATTATGTCTTGGAAACACGTTTTGTCTTGCTTTGCAGGTGTGTGTGTAAAGAAGCAAAAGGAGCTAGTTAAAGCCATTGATCAAGCTCAAGACAATGGTGAGTAGCATAAATGGGTCTGGAAAATAAGGCAGAGTTGAGTGGAAGGTGACAAGTGCTTGTATGATAGGTTTTGGAGTTTTCAGAGCATCAAGGGTGAGGATGGGAGTGGCTCACAGAAAGCTTGCACTCCCATATTTACTATTGCTTTACTTTCCCCATACAATTTGCCATTTTGCTGCCAAATTTCAGCACCATGGTCTTGGAGTGCTTTGGAGGTTGTAGACAGGAATCCTGCCTGCTCCATACAAGCCATGTTATCCACCCTATGCCATGGTTTATAAGCTCACTCAATTCATAGGATATGCTAAGCCAGGTCCTCCCCCAACCTTCCATTAGATAGAAGGTGTGAACCCAGATCAATCATGGTCGTCTTTCTGATATGTTTTCTCTTGTGTCTCCGTTGTCAGGACTTCTACCAGTTAGCACTCCCTTGATCTCCTTCCCAGATGTGGATTGGAGCAACCAGCATCCAGCTGTTTCCAAGACTCCTCCATCCCCGGCTTTATGTAGCAAGACATCATGGTATCCTTGGTATGACTGGCAGCAACCTCCAGAAAAAAAAATTAAACTCTTCAGGAGGATTTACAAAGATTACCTGAAAGAAGAGAGCAAGCTTTCATAAACCAAGCAAAAAAAAGCAATTATAACATTCCCAAGGAAGCCTGTAACTGATCCTTAAAAAGCCTCTGAAGTATATCGTCCAACTGTTACAGGACTGCTATCTATTGTTTCCTCCAGAAGGACTTCTAGTGTCAGTAAATTGAATGGGATTACTGATGATTTTGGTGATTGAACTTTCCTGGAAACAAGTGACTGAATGAGGGGCGGGAGGGGAAGTATAGGACAGTGGTAAAGCAAAACAAAAATACAATGAAAAGCTATTTGATGTGTGTATCTACAGTGTGATGGGTTTTTCATTTTACAGTAAATCATGATTTTGTTAAAATAGGCTGCTGTTGGCTGGATTCAGACAAAACATAAACAGATTTGCTCACCACACCACACCACGGTTTAGTACAGGAGTCTCCAAACTAGAGACAATGCAGAAGCTTCAAGGTAACTTTGTGTGGCAGTTGTTCTGAATCCAACAAGTATTTGCAATTTTAGCAATTGTAAAAATGCTGGGTTCAGTGAAGGTGCTGACTGTGTGCAACTGTTTTTTAAAAGGCCAATAGCATGTTAGGAATAATAAATGGTGTTAAAAATAGATTCAATTATCCTAATGCCTAAAGGTAGTAACCCATTTGTATAACCATATCTAGAATATTGTGCACAGTTCTAGTCCCCACGCCTCAAAAACGACATGGAGGAGCTAGACAAAGTTCAGAGGAAGGCAGCTAGGATGGTGGAGGGCTTCCTGATGAGGAAAGGTTGGAACATGTGGCCCTTTTTGGTCTAGAAAGGAGTTGGATGAGGAGACCCATTTGAAGTTTACAAAATTATACATAGTGGAGATAGACAGGAAGCTATTTTGCCCTTTTGACAATACTAGAATCCACAGTCAAGCAATGAGATGGAATCCTAGAAGAATCAGGACAAACTAAAGGAAATATTTTTTTATCTGAAGCAAAATTCAGCTTTGACATTCACTGCCACAAGATGAATTGCTAGCTTGGGCTGACTCCAAAAAAGGATTGGATCACAAAAAAGGATGCAAATCACATAAGTCATGGAGGTGGCCGTTGTCTATATTGATAGCAGTGTGATTGCCTGTTGAGGCCACCTGCTGGAAGACTAGTGGATTTCCTTAAATAGTTGGTTATTCCTTGTGAGAGAAAAACTGAATTACATGGGCCAGGAGTCTTAATTCAAGGATTGAATGAAATCCCTGAAAATCCCAAATTCGGGATTCCAAATGGAGAATTTATCGCTTTGATGAATGTTGTGAAGTTAGTGTTTAAATACTTAAAAGAGTCATAGGATTTCAGTTCAATTTAGAAATATATTAAAAAAATATGAAGGCTTCTCTAACAATCTGAAAAGTCAATAAATGCAGGGTGCATATTCTGCAGATAGTTAAAATATGAAATGATCAAAGAACATGCTTATGTTCTTATGGGCCTTCATCTTAGTAAAATATATTCAATCTAGTGATGATGATTTGATCTACTGGTTAAAAGTACCAGCTAGAAACCAAAACTGAATTCTAGTCCTGTCTTGGCGCAAACTCAACTTAGAGCCAGTCTCTCTCAGCCCTAGGAAAAATGACAAGCTTCTGATAAAAATGTTGCCAAGAAAACTGAATTGCCAGGAATCGAGACTGAATCAGACACAAAAGTAAGAATTTATTAATAATGTTGATGATTTTTTTCCCATAGGATATTTCAATTTTAAGGAAACTTTTTAAATTACATAATATACTAGCCGATAACATTGCGTTGCCTGGGTATTTATTTATAGGGAGAAATGTCTGGATCAAACATAATTTCTAATGTTAGATTTTCCCACTTACTAGAGGAGGCCCCCTTGTGGAGTACTCTGAAGCCATTACCATGGCAACTCCACTGAGCTATACAGTAGAAGCCATTTTAAGGCACAACAGGCTGTATCTTAACAACACACACAACCTAGGGGTGCTTTACCCCTACTATTTTTCTCCAGAGGGTAAGTCACTTGTGTACCAAGTTTGGTTGAAATTGCTCAAGATGTTCCAGAGTTATGCTGGAACATACACACAGCCATTTTTATAAATACAGATTAAGGACAAATGTAGGATGATAAGTGTGCACATTTTTCTTATATTTATACTGTAGATACAGTAACAGCATTCATATGCTGAGAAACTCTTACTCTTATTCAGCAGTGGAAATATGAGAATGCGGTCAAGAATTTATTCCCTTAAAAAGTCAGCGAACAGGATAAAACATGTAGATTCTCTAATAAGGCAGAGCAAGTTCTAACAATGTAATCTTGCATATTTAACCAATAAATTGATGGCACTTTAAAAATTCCTGCTAGGAACGGACTTCCTCAGTGATTATCTGACCTCTGCCCTTTCTCAAAACACATCTAGCCTTGCAATTTTAATTACATATAAAAGGAAAGCATAACTCAGTCTTTTAATGGAGACAGATCAGTTGGTGGTGTAAATGGATAACAGTTGCTTGTCATGAATCCATATCTGGCTCTACTTTGCAACCATCCTCAAGTTGGGAAGCATGTTAGTGTTAGAACTAGATTGGTTGTAAGGGTTAAGGCATCAGGCTGACACCAAGACATCATGAGAACTCTAATCTTAAATGAGTTTTCTTAGACATGAAAGCCAGCAAATGTGCTTTTTCAAGAGGCAACTGGACTTTCCTGTTTTTTTCTTTGAAGACATTTCACATCCCAGAAGCTTCTTCAGCTCTGGATGACAGAGAATCTCCACAGACATTCAACTGAATCTCTCTCCCTCTCCTCTCTTCACACTTCTCTCTCTCCCTCTCCTCTCCCTCTCCGCCCAACCCTCCCTACAGGGTTGTTGTGAGGAAAAGAGGAAGGAGTATTAGATACGTTCTCTCCCTTGAGTTATTTATAAAAAATAATAATAAAGGTGGGTTAGAAACAAAAAAGGGCTCATTTCGCTAAGCGGCAAAATAGAACTTTTCAGTGGAACGTTGACAACCGTTGTGGGGCGTGGCTGCCCGCAGTCTGGAACGTTGAGAGACAGAAATCGCGGGAACAAAGGAAATAGATTCAATAAAACTTCCACTTTTAAAAGATGAGAAGAAAGGGTGGCACAAAAGCCGGTACTGTCCATATTCTTTTATCGCTCAATGTATAGAATCGAGCCGCCTCATCCTCACTCTCTCACACACACACCCCTCCTGCGTTCCATCCTCTTCCAGATTCCACTCCCGGCTTCCTTCGGAACTTGCCACGCATTTTAACAATCCAGCCAACGGCCGTTCCGAAGGTCCCCGGGTTCCACGCACCTCCAACCCGCTAACCGCCTCCGAAGTCCCCAGCGCTGTTCACACGCACGCGCGCGCGCGCTCCCGCCTTTCAAATCGGGGAGGGGAGGCGCGGCCGGCGGGAGCCGAGCCCCCGGTTGCTATAGGCGAGTTTGGCGGTCCGGTTGCTAAAGGCGGAGCCGAACCCGGCACGTCGCTCCGAGATGAGCCCGGGGTTTTTGCGTTGTTAGGCGGAAGTCCGCGGCGCAACCCCCGGCCTAAGAAGGAGAAGGGAGAAAGAAAGAAAGAGACCCGGATGCCTAAAGTATGGAGTTCCCTTTCGACGTGGACCTGCTCTTCGGCGAGCGGATCGCGACGGTGGATCAGAACTTGCAGCCGTCGGGCAGGAAGGGAGCCGGGCTCGCCGCCACTCACAGGTAGGAGAGATCTTGGCGGCAATGTAAGCCTCCGAGAACCCCGGGCATTCCTAGGCATTGTCCCCGGGGCATCATGGGGAATGCCCCCCCTCCCGACTCCCGTCTCGCCGGCGCGCGAGTTACGCCCTCCTCCGGTCTCCCTCGCGGCGGGCGGAGCCGCACAAAGAACCCGAGCAGCTGGGCGACCTTCAAAGGCGGCGGGGGTGGTGGTGTGAGATGGGGGGGGGGCGACCGGCGTATGTGTGTGTGTGGGGGGGTGTCGTTCTGAGGCCGCCCCTCACTAAACAAGAAGGCCGATGAAGGGCAGCTTGGGGTTCAGGAGGTACATAACACAAGACGAACATAATTTCTGATGTTACATAGACTGTAACATAAGAAATCCTGGGTCCCTTTTGGCCTCTGATTTTCTATACACACAAACACAGGTGCACACACACACACACACACACACACACAATCTGTTGTAGAGCAAAGGTGTCAAACTGGCTAAAGGTAGAGTAGATGGGTAGAAAGGGCAGTGGTGTGCCTTAGGTTGGGGACTCGCCCCTCCTATCCCTCTGGTGATCCTACGAAAAATAAAGAATGGGTGAATGAAAGAGTGAAAACGAATGAAAATAAAGGATTTGGAACTGTCTCCATGCAGTGTTTGTATTATTGGTTGATTGATTCTGCCACCTTCAGAACAGTGAATCTTTTAGGTCCACAGCTTGTGAATGTAATGCGTGTGGCTTTGTTACTTCCTGGCGTCTGCCTGAATCAGTTCCTTGCAAGGTTTCTCAGCAGGAATTCAGAAGTGGTTTGCCATTGCCACCTTCTTCCTAGGGTTGAGAGGAAGTGACTGGCCCAAGGTCACCCAGCTGGCTTTGTTCCTCAGGTGGGAATAGAACTCACAGGTTTCTGGGTTCTAGATTGATGTCTTAACCGCTATACCCTCTAAAAGACCACATAGATAGATCTATTTCGCACCTTATAGATATTCCTATGTCTTAAGCCTCCAGCTGAATTTTAACTTGATGTGTTGTATCTTTAAAACTAAGCTACAACCTCCTCCTCTTCCAGCCCAGCAAAATGCTGCAGGAGGTTAGGTAAGCATGGCTGCAGTTCACTGCTGCTGGTAAAGGAAGAAAAAGATTCAGAGGTCAAAATCCTCTTTTCCATCAGTCTCATTAAGAAATTAAGTTGCTTGTTTTTTTTTTTGGTTATACTGTATATCGATATCTGTATGTGAAGTCTGTTTTGCTGTGGCACATAAACTCAGGTCATGTGTCAGATAGAATGATCACTTGAAGCCATCTTGTGTTGAATCCAAAAGTGAGTTTAACCCCTTCTATCTGGAAGGTTGAATATGTGTGTGTGTGTATATATATATGGTGGTTCCTATTTTTCTACATGCATTTTTATGTGCTTTCGAACTGCTAGGTTGGCAGAAGCTGAGACAAGTAACGGGAGCTCACTCTGTTACACGGCACTAAGGATTCGAACCGCCAAACTGCCAACCTTGTCTTAGCCACTGCATATCTACCTACCTACCTACCTACACCCCTCCCTCCCCCCTCTCTCTGTACACACACACACACACACACACACACACACACACACACAAAGAGTATATATAGAAATTATCAGTCCTTGGTTGGCTTGTATCTGATGCATCAAATTATCTGTTTTTTTAAAATGTAAAGTATTTTGTTCTTGTTTTATTTTTGCTTTTCTAATTGTTACTACTCCATGTTTGTTTTACCAGAGCTGATATGAAGCAGCAACTCATGAAGATCATAGATGAGATGGGCAAAGCCTCTGCCAAGGTATGTTAACGTTTGTTAAAGAATCAGTTATACTTTTAGAGGAAGTAGAGATAGCAACAAACTATTGGGCTAAATTTTCTGAACAAGCTCACTCATTGAGCTAGAGTACAAATCCAACCAACTGTTAGATTGAAGGAGGCGCCGTTGCCTTGCCAAATGTGATTCTGCTCATCTGGTCCAAACATTAAGAAATAATTAACACACACATCCTTTTGAACCAGGAAGCTGCCACATCTGGATCCAAAAAAGAACTTAAGAAATAAACAAGCTTCAAGACTTCCTTGGATTTGTTTTCATTTTAAATTTTTATTTACAGGTAGTCCATGACTTACAATCACCATTGAGCCCAAAATTTCCATTGCTAAGCAAGACAGTTGTTAAGTGAGTTTACGACTGTATTTGCCACAGTTGCTAAGTGAATCACTGCAGTTATTAAGTTAGTAAACAGTTAAATGAATGTGGCTTCCCCATTGACTTTGCTTGTCAACAGTTCATGAAAGGTGTTCACATGTCCCCAGGACACTGCAACCATCATAAATACATGCCAGTTGCCAAGCATCTGGATTTCAATCATGTGACTGTGGAGATGCTGCAATAGTCATTAGGTTGCCCCGTTTTATGACCTTATTTGCCACATTTATTAAGTGAATCACTGCAATTGTTAAGTTAATATCAGTTGTTAAGTAAATCTGGCTTCCAGCTTTGCTTGTCAGAAGGTTACAAAAAGGGATCACATGAATCTGGGACACTGCAACCATCAAAGATGAAATAGTTGCCAAGCATCCATCCAAATTCTGATCATGTGACCATGGGGAATCCGCATTGGTTTTAAGTGTGAAAAACTGTCGTAAAACACTTTTTTTCAGTGCCATTGTAACTTTGGGCATTAAACGAAGGGCTGTAAGTTGGGGATTACTTGCATTGCTTTTTGTTCAGAGTGCTGTGATTGGTGTGCAGGTCTCAGGATACGCAGGCTAAAAGATAAAGAATATGGGAAGCAAAGGGTATATTTTTCTCTCTAAGCCACCAGTGTTGAACTCAATTTCATTGAGGGCTGCATCGGGGCTGTGGTTGACCGGTATGTGTGTGGCAACTGAGTTGATGTGGCCAGCTTGATGCCACTCCCCAAACTGCTGGCATGTTTCTTCTTTGCATTGGGTAGACTAGGCCGAAGAGACATGGGCCAGCCCCTTACATTTACCAGGAGAGCCCCATGGGCCAGATCTGACCACATCGCAGACCGGATCCGACCCACGAGCCTTGTGTTTGACACCCCTGCTCTAAGCATTAGTTAAGATGCCCGTCACATAATTCCATCTTCTCTTCCATCCTGCCTTCTGCCATCATTTTGGTGAAACTCAAAATCTCATTGATTTCAGGCCCAGAATCTGCCAACTCCAATCACCAGTGCCTCAAGGATGCAAACCAACCACCATGTGCTCTACATCCTGAAAGACAGTGAAGCAAAAATGTAAGTGTCATAGCAAAAAGAATTTGGATTCTATGTGAAGTCTACCTGTCTGGAAATAACATTTGCTTTAGTTCGGAAGGATTGATTTCCAGATAAATGCATAGGGCAGAGATTTTCAAAGTGTGGGTCATAAGCAACTTTGAGTAGTGAAACAATGTTTTTTGTTATTGTTTTGGGAAAATCTGGTCAGGCGTATGAAGACAAAATGGAAATGTTTTCAAAACTCACTCCTGCTTCATCTCATTTTGCTTGTAGAAGCTTACAGTGGGTAGAATCCTCTCTGTAGCTTAAATTCACATGATTTCATTTATGGTTTTAATGGTGCAAGGAACTGCAAGAAGCACTGACACATTAGAGTTGCATTGCAGCCAAAGGTTGCTTTTGAGAAGGGAGCCTATACTGCATATGTAATCCTAGTTTCTTGAATGTTTTTTTAATTATCACTGGAATGAAGCTTGATATTGCAAAGAGTACTGGTGTACAGAGTTGCATTGCAGCTTCTGCAAAAACCTTTGTTCAGCTGCAATGGGACTCTTTGTGTCAGTGCCCCTTGCAGTATCGTTCTTCCTTTTTACTATAGCCATATGCCAAAAAGCTTTTGGCAAACTGGTGTTGTCACAATCCTTTGTGTTAGGATCAATCTTTGGTCAAGTTTAATCTAAATTTATCAAATCTGGATTATTCTGTTCTATTTTCTTTTTGTTAGTCTATTCTGCTCTGCTCTGCTCTGCTCTATTTATTTATTTATTTGCTGAATATTTACCACTTTTAATCCTTCCCTGAAGAAAATCTTTTGTAAGATGGGCAGCTATATAAACTTGATTGATAAATAAATAAAATAAAGCTTTTTATCTTCTTCTTTTACTGATTTCAGGGCTGGCAAAGGGATTATAATTGGCTTCCTCAAAGTTGGTTACAAAAAACTCTTTGTATTGGTAAGTACAGCGGAAAATCACCCTTGATACATGGAATTTTTACCACTAGTGGAAAAGGGTGCTTGGTTCCCAAACAGGATGGGTGCAAAGTTCTGATCAGGAAGTTAGGTGAGATCTCCAAGATCTCTTCCATCCCTTTGATCCAAGAAGTTTTAAATTATACTGATATATTTCCACACTGATGTATTTAAGTCATATTCTCAAAGTATAAATTCTCTATTGCAAGGAATGTGGTGTCCTGCCACTCATAATAATCTTTTTTAAAAACTTGGTGAAAGCTGAAAAGAAGTCTGACAAAGTTTATAGTTGGTTGTGATGCACTATTTCTTAGCCACACCAACAAGATTGTGATCTTGGAGTTGCCCCCTTTTATCACAAATGGAAAAAAAAAGAAGATTGAAAACATCCATTGTGTACTCTGAGTTAAACATCATTGCCATGTTTTTTACAGACATGCTGAATGCCCTCTTGTAAAGTAAAGAGAAAGAAAGATGGTTTAGGGGTTCAGGGACAAAACTTTATTCACTGAGCCATCGCTTCCTGTTATGCTCAAACTAATCTCAACAATAAGAAAATCAAATGATGCATCTTGGTGAATACTGTAGTGTTTGTTTGAAATCAGTGAAGGATCAGCTGAAATGCTTTTAAAAAAATGAATCATACAGTAGTATGTTAAGTAGTCATTCTTGTACTGATTCTGATTCAACACAATTTCAGTTTTGCTATTTAGCCTAATTTGATATGGAGAGGCTGTAAAAACACGGCTGCAGTTATTGTTTCTGCTCCAACTTGAGGCACAGAAGGTGAAACAATCCTTTTTCTTGTTCGCAGAATAAATCCCACCCATGCCCCTTTAACAATCTTCTATTTGTGCGGAATGAAAAATTTCATGAGTGGTTCTGTTTGCTTTTAAACAAGGCTTTCACAATTTGTATCCTCTGAATGCTTCATCCTTAGATTTTTTTTTGCACTGCTTACCATAGCTATTATGGATCATTAACATACAAATTGAACTGCTTTATTTCAGTATTTGGAAACAAAGAACTATTGTCTTTGGTTTTATTATACCTCTGTTTGTGGTATTATTATCTATGTTTTTAGAAATCTAGTAATACCCAAAAATTATTAAGAATATCTCCAAGAAAAAGCTTTAAAATGATTTTGCAGGGGCAGAGCCAATGACCCTGGGAAACTAAGCAGCTGGTGAATTGGAGCAGAATAAAATGGCAGCTCACCAGGCCTAATGCTCTTTAACACTAACCAGCATGTATAAATTACTGATTTGAGCAGAGAGTCCATAGACGGATTCAAACTGGAGGTTCTTTTAATTTACTTTATTGTACCTTGTACAACGAAATTAAATGCCATCTCAGCATACATTGTAACTATAAAAATAAAACATGAACAAACATCCTTCACATTCTATACAATTGAATTGAAAACCCCTGATATTGCATTAATATTGCACTATACAGTAGAATTCAATCGTGACACGACAAAACCCCGGTCCACTAAAGTGCGCTCGATTAAAGCGCGTACCTGACGTCATCAGCAGTGCAACAAATAAAATTAAAAATAAATTAAATTAAAATTAAATTAAAGCAAGCCGATTCACATAAAGGTAAGGGTTAGGGTTAGGTTAAGGGTTAGGGTTAGGTTTAGGGTTACGTTAAGCGTTAGGGTTAGGTTTAGGTTTAGGGCTAGGTTAAAGGTTAGGTTTGGGGGGGTTAGGGTAAGGTTTTTATGTTAATTTTAAAATTA